TGTGACAAAAATTTAAACTTTGATAGTTTTAGCTTATATGATTCTCACCAACACTCTCTAATTTTCAACATGGTCTATAGTTAGGGGCTTAAACTGTCTAACCAACATTTCCTCATGGCCAGCACTGCGGTCTTCCACTGTCTTGCTTCTCTATGGTTATTCTTCCAGCAGGTACTCGTCATGTGAGGGGAGAGGCCTGCTTTTAAACACTTAGCTGGTCTCTCCATGCACTGATATATTACTGTGAGTACAGGAAAATAAATAGATCGGCAGTCAGCAGCGCAACAGAAATATGTGAACCCTAGTTAACATGGAAAGATACCCAGAAAGTAGTTGCCGATAGCTGGAATGTAAGACACATGTCGTAGAAGGATGTTGTTGGGGCTAGAGGGATGGCTCAGAGTTTAGAGTGGACACACTCTCTCAGAAAAGCAGAGTTCAGTTCCTAGAACCCATGTTGGGAAATTCGGAAGTATTTTTAACTCCAGATCGAGGTGGATCCAGTGCCTCTGACTTCAGTGAACACACGAACTCACATGCTCAGAGGCATACATACATACATACATACACACACAAAGTTTAAAAATAAGTCTTTACTATGACCCAGAAAAACCACTTTGGGGTATAAACACAAAGGATGCTCAACTGTACTACAAGACATGTGCTCAACTATGTTCATAGCAGCATTGCTTCTCATAGCCAGAACCTGGAATCAACCTAAATGCCCCTTGACTGAAGAATGGATAAGGGAAATGTGGTACATTTCCATAATAGAGTATTACACAGCAGAGAAAAATAATGACATCTTGAAATTTGCAGGACAATGGATGGATCTAGAAAAAATCATATTGAGTGACGTAACCCAGACCCAGAAAGACAATTATCACATGTACTCACTCATAAGTGGCTTTTAGACAGAAAGCAAAGAGAACCGGCCTATAATTCACAATCCCAGAGAACCTAGACAACAATGAAGACCCTAAGAGAGACATACATAGGGAGTAGAAAAGGAAAAGATTCCCTGAGTAAATTGGGAGCATAGGAACCAAGGAAGAGGGTTGAAGGGGGAGGGGAGTGGAAAGGAGCAGAGAAAAACATATAGCTCAATAAAAATCAATAAAAAATAAGTCTTTAAACTGCTGTTGTCCGTGAAGATTTTGTTTACAAACCTCTCTCTAAGTGATATGCTGATACAGACCCATCTATTAACTGTAAAGGCTCTTGTAAATGCTTATTGGGCTGGAAACATGGCTCAGGGAATAATGGGCTTGTCCTGCAAACATGAAGACAAAAGTTCAAATCTCCAGAACCCATGTAAAATTCAGACCAATCTGGTGGCCAACTATAATTCCAGCACTTGGGAAACAGAGGCAGGCTCCACCCACAAGCTGGTGTGTTAGAATAGCCTCATTGGAGTGCCAAGTTCAGTGACACATCCTGTCTCATTAAATAAAGTCTAATACAACAGGAAGACACCTGCAAGCAGCTACAGGTTTCCATACACCACACATGCAAGTGTACCCATATGCAAATATGCCGACACACACGTGAACATGCGTACTTATGTACAATCACACGACACAGACACACAGCAATGTAAAAGACGAAAGCAGGACCAGAAAGATGGTTTAGTGGTACACATGCTCCCCGTTAAGCCCGATGACCTGAACCCACATGGTAAAAGAAAATCAACTCTGTAGGTTGTTCTCTGACCTCCACATGTATACCACGGCTGGCAGGTGAATGTACCTTCAACATACATACATACATACATACATACACACACACATAAACGTAAAAACGTATTAAAGAAAGAGAAAACATTTTCCACACATTTTTCTAATTCTTTGTAGAACCAATGTCCTAGCCACAGGGATAGATAGAGTCACCAAGAGGCTTGATTCTGTTCATCAGTATTCCTACTGAAATGCAGAATTACCTGTGTTATTTTTAGAAAAATGCACTAATCTATTTCATTATGTGATCTTCAAGGTAAAGTTTATTCCATTAACACAAGCACTTATTAAAACGTTTTAAAAATCTGTTTAGTATTACCTTAATACTGTGGAAGCTTTTGAATGTCGTGTCCTCAGTGGTTTAAGATATACTTGCACACCTTCATTTTGTGAATAAAAAGTTTGTACGGGAACAACCAGACATTGCTAACAATGAATCAGTGGACAAGGGATGGAGAAATGGCTTCTTGTTGATGCCATTTCTTGCTCTTGCAGAAGACCCAGGTTTGATTCCCAGGGGATCTGATGCCCTCTTCTGGTCTCTATTGGAACTGCATGCATGTTCTGCCCTCACATACAAGCAGGCAAAACGTTCATGCACAGCAATAAATAAATAAGAAGTTTTGAAAGAAGTTTAGTGCACAAGGTTAGTGAACCACTTAAAAGGAAAAATTATTTTGGGATAAGACAAATTTTATCACTATTAAGTGGTTTTGTTTGTTTCGCTTTTAAAGTGTTCTGTCTTACACATTAACTTGCCGAAACAGACCTGAAAAAAATATGACCACATTCTGCTCTCCTAAAATTGGCATGTTGGAAGAGTTTCTTATTTTTTTTTCTTGGAGTTTTAATTTATTTCTTACTCTAGAGCTAATCGAACTTTAATGCTAGTGAAAATATACTCATATGCACCTCGAGTTTTGCAACTTAATAGAAATTCAAACTAACCACTGCAAACGTCACCTAAGGAAGTTTTAGCCACTTCCAGCACAGCGTTCTGGCACCGCGGAGCACTCCCGCCCAACCCAATGTCGTCTCAGTTCTGAAAAGTGGGGAAGAAAACCCGAAGGCCTGAAAAGTGCCAAAAACATCCTTGGGTGAGGACAAGGCAGTCCTCGGGAGAAAGTGGTGCTCGTTGGTTAGTATATCCAGGTGCTTTTTGTTCTCGCATTTTTCTTCCATATTACTGTTTCCTAGTCATTACCTTGCTCGCATCTTTTTTGTCTTTTATTTGGGGTTTATTTTTAAATTTATTTTCTAACTTGCTAAGCTACATTTGCCCCACATTTTGCAAAACTTCTTTCATCTTTACAAGATTCTAAGGTTCTTTGTTTCGTTATGAATTTCAACTCAGTTACATGGCAGTGTGTTTTATTGCCCCAGTTCTGGAGAGGTTTAATTTTGCATTTCTTTAAGTTCAAATTTGTTTGCACTGTGTTAGCAACACATAAGACAATTTTTTAGATTTCCCACCCCACAACTTTATGTAAAGCATGACTGAGTTTTGTGAACATTCCCTGTGTGCTAAGACAAATGAATTCTAGCTATTCCCTGTAAAACTCAGGTCTGCTCAACCAAAGATGGCAATCGTATTTTTCATATGGACTTGATCTCTGTGAATAACAGAAACATGTAAGGCTCAGGAAAATCTGTGGTGAGACAAACCAAAAGGAGAGAAGACAAATGATGGTATAAAAATAAAGGAGGACCATAACTAACGTAATCCAGCAAGCAGACATCAGCAGACAACACGGGGCAGTTCCCTAACAAGCACATGCCATAACCTTATGAGATGCATGGGAATATTCCTTATGAGGTCTGACTGAAAAAGAAACAGTTGGAATTGCCACGTGTGGTGGTGCACCCTTTTAATCCCAGCAGTCTGGTGGCAGACAAGCAGGTCTTTAGAGCTCGAGGCCACCATGATCTACATAATGCCTTTCAAGCACGCCAGGGCTGTAGAGTGAGGTTGTATACTGTCTCAGAGTGATACTAATAGTAATAATAATGATGGCGATGATGCTAGAATCATTCTGCAGCCATTAAAGATAGTATTCAAAAGTCTTCTCACAAAGAATTAGGTTAAAAAACTTTGAGGTGTTGCAAGGATGTGTTAGATAAGTCAGGGCTAAGGCGCGTCAAGATTTTGCTAGAGAACTTGTGAAAAAGAAAATGGGTAAGAATTACAAAGAGCACTTGGAGCTACATATAACAACAAAGTGCATGTTTCTGCCTGGAGAGACCCAGCTGGCATCCTGCCCGGGCAAGTTTGCCTGGTTCACTTGTGAAATGCTAGGACTATTCTTTGGGGCAGAAGCTGTCCTAGCAAACTACCCATAAGCCACTCCTCCTAGGAACCTCTGCCAGGAAGGAAGAACGTCTCTGTGGGTGACAATTATGAAAATGAAGAAAATGAAACGTACAAAACGCAAGACGATGGGGTCACTTTAAAAGTGACCATTGCCAAAGTATCTTCAGACACACTGATGAATATCTTGCATATCACCCTAGAAACTTCATCTGCCGATGGATGGAGATTGAGACAGAGACCCACATTGGAGCACTGGACTGAGCTCCCAAGGTCTTAATGAGGGAGCAGAAAAAGGGAGAACATGAGCAAGGAAGTCAGGACACGAGGGGTGCGTCCACCCACTGAGACGGTGGGGCTGATCTAATGGGAGCTCACTAAAGCCAGCTGGACTGGGAGTGATGGAGCATGTGATCAAACCGGACTCTCTGAATGTGGCTGGCAATGAAGGCTGACTGAGAAGCCAAGGACAATGGCACTGGGTTTTGATTCTACCGCATGTACTGGCTTTGTGGGAGCCTGGTTTGTTTGGATGCTCACCTTCCTAGACCTGGATGGAGCGGGGAGGACCTTGGACTTCCCACAGGGCAGGGAACTCTGACTGCTCTTTGGACTAGAGAGGTAGGGAGGGGGAGGAGGGGGAGGGAAATAGGAGGAGGTGGAAATTTTTAATAAAAAAAAAGTATTAAAAAAGGGGGTAAGCTACCCAAAGTTCTCCATTTCTGGTATATTTTATAGACATTTTAAAGTTTGTCCCCATCTTAATTTTTTAAAAGGTCTCAATCATTTGGCAGGCATCATTTCCAGATTCTAGGATACAGGCTGCAGCAGCTACACAGAGAAAGGGACCTTAAGCCTCTTTCTGCACATTAAATCTCTCCTTCTGCAGCTGAATTGCAAAACATAACCTCGCTGAACCACTTGCACGAACTTCAAAAGGATCTCCAACCACTCACCTGGATACAAGCCAGAGGCTCATTTGTCCAAATTGAATATCCACCAACTAAATATATTCTCCCATTATGGACAGCGACTCCAGATTCATTCTGGCCTAAAGTAAAGAGAATTGAATAAAAAGAAAAAAAGTTTCATTTCTTACATGTTTTAATTAACCCTTTTGCCACTGAGGGATACAGTTTCCCCCTGTGGCATATTTGTATACTCCACAGGAATTTTGCAGCAATTAATCACTGTCTCCAGAACGAAAATGAATCAGCCACTACTTCTCTCACTAGTTAGGACCAGGCCAAAATATCTATTACCAGCACCTTACTAAGTGGAGCACTACAGATAGTAGTAGCAAGCTATGTAGGACCAATAATTCCATATTATTCTGTATGCCATTGGTCCGTGGTGGTGGAAATCGGGGATATTTGAGATACGTAAAACATCCGTTGTGCTCCATATAGCACTTGTGCCAACAAATATAGACAAGTGCTTAACTTGAAAAAGTCACAATTGTAACCCTAAGGCATAACAGAGGCATGCCCGCATCAATGAAGACAAATGGCAGACAAACACAGATAAAATTGCGGCCCTTTTTCCTTTACATAGTCAACAGTTTTAAGATTATATTAAAGTTCCCAAGCTGAGACCAGTCTACACAATCCCGAGATACTGACACGCCAAAATGATGAAAGGATTCCCCTCCCATTTCAAAAAAGAAGACAGGATAACTCACTAGCACACACGCTCCCCTGCAGGCAAGCAGAGAGTGAAAGTCTCTTTTTATTGATGAGCTGGCACGGGATTGACTGGAGTAATAAATAAGTTGGAGGCAGAATCACAGATCCAGGGATCTAGGATCTAAGATGCCACTCTGCCTGAGAGATCAGAACTTGTAATAGGCCTACAAATCATTTCGCAAAGAAGAGCTTGATACAAAGCAGCCAAAATCCTTGGTTGTGCTCCCCATGTGGCCTCCCAGCAGCATCCGTGAGTGACTGGATGCCCACTGTGCATCTTAAATGTCTTCAGGAGCTAGGCTAACCCACCAGTTACAGACTGTGATTTTCCTGACGTCACCCAGGATCCTGCCATTGCTGGATGTTTACCATAGGAGCCGATAAGAATGACAAAGTTTTCAGCTCCATTTTGGACATCGGGGTAAGTGCATTCTTACTGATTCACCCCATCCCTTTCTGCGAGGAATCCACATCTCTGATTGCTCTGCAGAGATGTACAGGTAGGGCATCTCTGTGTGGCCGAAAAGACTCTAATACACACAGCGGCTCTCAAGTCTGATCTCTAGGTTGCACACAGACACACTATACAGCCATGACAAATCATGAAGACCACCATTTTCCTGACCTCCCAGAAGATAAAAGAGGACCAGGTAGTGAGAAGTGGAACTTCTTGGGCTTGGGGCTCAGTTGGTAGAGCGCTTGCCTAGCATGCATGAAATATCGGGTTCAAATCCCAGCACTATATACAATTGGGCATGGTGGGAAACAAATGTAGCCTCAGTCAAAGGGAAATTGGAGCAAGGGAAACAGAAATTCTTTGAAGCTGTTCAGATGTACATGAGACCGTGACTTTTAAAAAGGGGGAAAATAAATATTAATTCTTGGTATCTTTTCCCTCCTACATGTATCAAAGTCTGACATGGGTATTACTTGATGAAAAGTGAGTTGACATGATTGTCTTGGTCATTTGAGAAGGTACACAAAGGCAAAATAGAAACTAGATTCCCAGCCACCCGAAGGAGCCTAGACTCTAGCTATAAATCATGCATGTCTTCCTGGGTAACGAAAACAATCTGGATGACTCACTGCTCACAGAATATGTAGAGATGTACCCTAGATGTCCAAGAAACGAGTCTGGGGATGTTTTGAATCTCTATTCTATTATTTGTTTTGGTTTTTATTTTTAGACATTCAAAAAGATTATTTTATTTTATTTTATTTTTATGTGTGTTTTGTCTGGGTGTGTATCTGTGTACTTACTACATGTGTTCCTGGTACTCTTTGGAGGCCAAAAAAGGGCACAAGATCCCCTGGGACTGGAATTACAGACAGCTGTGAGCTGTTACCAGGGTGCTGTGTATCAAACCTCCAGCCCCTATGCTTGTTTCTAAATTGCTTAACCAAAAATACTTGCCGGTCAACAAGTTGAAATTACAGCGTGTCCACTGGTCAGTGTCAATGTTGTAAGAATCTATATGGCGCACGAGAATCCGGTCATTATTGTAGTCTAGGTCATTGCCTCCAAGAACATAGAGTTTCCTCTGGACGGCGGCCATGGAGTGGTAGACCCTTCTCTGGAGCATGGGGCTACGGCTTATCCACTTATTCTGAAACAAAACAGAACAAAACAAACAAGAAAAAACCATTCAGGGGCATTGGGTTAAAAAGACTCACAAAGAGCAAAGGCCGCGTGCCTCTCCAGCAGTTAAGAACACTAATGCCAAATGATCTTACTTGCATATTATTTACGTGTTGAAAGGTGTGGTTTTCATACGTGACAACAAGGAAGAATTACATGGTCCTAGCTTGTGGCTTCCATTTCAAAAAAGAAAATTTGGTGGCTTTGCATTTTATAGGGCATTTTGCCTTTTACAATGCCATTTTAAATTTCATGATGCTTAGGTCACGGAAATTACTTCGGTTTAAGCACACGACTGGGTCCAGTGTGGAAGATAATGTAACAAGCAAAAAACAGTCTAGATCGAGACTGTGTAAGACATAATCCACATGCAGACACACTCCCACCCCCGATCCTCTACTCCCGAGCTCATTTCTTTATCTCTTTATGCAATAAAGGCTGCATGATATCCACTTATGATGTATCACATCATAAGTCTCACATGTAATAAATGTCCAGAACATGCTCACTGTTGTAAAAATACAGAGTTTGAGAACATGTGTGGTGCATGTCTTTAATTCCAGCCCTCAGAAGGCAGAGTCAGGCAGCTCTCTGTTGAATTCAAAGCCAACCTGGTCTACATACTGAATTTCATGTCAGACAAAGCTACATAGTGAGATTGTGTAGCAATAAAAGGGGCAAGGGTATATACACGTTGAGTAACCAAGGTCCCAGATAAATTAAGGTGAAGGAAATTTTCCCATTCTCTCCAAAATTAACCTGAGATCAGAGGACAAGCTAAAATTTGTTTTAGTAACAACGTTTCCTTTCTATCTGAATCTTCTCACACTTTAACACTCTGATTTATGTTCTTTGTCAAATAGGATAACTAGGTCTAGACATATTTATGTATATTGGTAGAAGGCCAAGCTTTATATGACAATGTTAAGGAATGGTAAAATCTTTAATATTTGGCTCTAGATCACCCTCAATAATAAGAATGCTAAGTTCAGCCCCTCTTAACCTAAGATTCCTTTTTAAAATGCAATAGCAACTTTAAAATTATCCGAGAATCAACCATGACTTTAAATTTAAATCGCATTTAACCAATTGACAGACAAGTAAACTGAGTGATAGATTAATAAACAAACCCAACTACTTCCTTCCTCATAGACATTCGGCATATAGGAAGAACCTCATTTCCTTTTGCCAAGACAAAATTGGATTGGAACCAGAAAACTCATATGATGTTTTGCATGCACAGAATTTCACCAGTTCACAAAGCTGCAAAGAAAGAAGCAGACTACAACACAAACATGCATGGATAAACATTGGCATATATACTATAGGCACTTATCAGTATAGGCTCACACACTGGGGCATGTATTCACTACAGGAACACATACTGTGGCGTGTATCTCTTAGAGGCACACACACCATGGCATCTATATACTATAGGTACACACTATGCAACCCTGTTCACTACAGGCACGCATATAGTGGCATTTATTTGTTATAGGCATGTGTTTGCTCATTTCTAATTTCTCAGAGTAAACTGCAGAAAAAAAAGACATTGTTTAGTTTGAGAAGCTTATCCTGTTGGGTCCCTCTGAGCACAGCATCTCTACAATCAAATATACGGTCTTTAATAAATAGTCAAAGCTAGATTTCAGGCATTTTGCTAAGAAATATCTTTAATGCATTATGCTTGAGTGAATTTTAAATTTCTGACGATGCTTATCTTGGGTGCTCTCTCTGCGATAACCTATTACAGTATTAGGAATCAGTGTTTGCATTAGCAGTCCAGTCCCCTGCCACAAGACTGTAGATGCCATCTGGTTTGCAAAGCCTGCCTACATCCCCTGATTATATCTTTAGCTTCCTTCACTGCAGTGCCTGCCAGGTGAGCCGCCACCCGCTGCAAAGGCAAAGAAGAGGAGAGGCCTGGTGGGGTCATTCCTAATAAGCTAGCGTGTGAATACTAATCAGTGGTGGGGAACCAGAGGTCACCCCAGCCTGCCTGTTGGCAGGTAGCGATGTGCTCTGTGGCAGATGGCAGGCATTATCGACTCTCCACAAAGGCCTAGAAGAGAAATAAGCACCAGGGCTGAATGATAGAGTTATTGAGATTCCGAGCAAGATGCAAGCAGATGTGATGTTTGCCAGTACCCACCGTAAACAATATGCCAGCAGAATTTTTAAAAAAGAGCATGTGTGTACAAACATGAAACAGAACTCATTTAAGCAGTGTTAATGCTGTCTTCTTCCTTAACCATGTGTGCACCAAACTCAGGCTTCTGCAATTAGTGCTCCCTCATGAGACAGCTGACCCGCGAGCGTGCAGTCTCTGCAATCTACAACTTTTAATAACAGCAGGAGAGACTTCTAAAAAGGGAAATGCCCTCCTCAGTAAAGTCATTGTTAAAAATACTGCAGAAATACCGGGAACACTATGCATAAGCTTGCGGTGCCTAACCAGATGCAGCCTGCCAAAGTCAACCTGTTGTTTCATCTCCAGATATCGCTAGCTGATGGATATAAAACCTTCACATCACACCATTTCGGAATACTGTCACAATAAAAAAAATGTTTAGATATCTAAGTCATGGAAATGGCAAAACTCATTAGATTTTGCCTGTCTGAAAACTTTTTTTTTTTAGAAGGAAAAGAGAATAAAAACATGTCTCATTTTAGGGGAAAAGGAGAATTAACTGTGCACCATAACGGCATGAAAATGGCCGAACTGTTAGAGGCACACCATTCTCAGATTCCTTCAGTTACTTCCAATTTGCCTTTGTCCTAGATAGTATGCTAGAACACAGTTGGCTATGGTAAGTCAAATGACATTATTTGATTTGAGAATAACAAGGTCATCATGATGTTTCCTTCCCCAAATGTCATCTCTTCCAAAAGGACGTAGCTACAATCAAAATCCTCTCTACAGAAGGCAAAGCTCTGTGTCATTAGATGTAGCATGAAGTCATAGGAGCTGAACTTTTGCAGTAATAAAGAGGAACCAAAGGCATTCCCCTAGATTCGTTCTTTTCCCCCATGTAGCTTAAGGTGCATTTGTGCGGCATTCTAATGAATATCTCCGGCGGAAACCTTTCATAGATGCATCTTAAGGCAATGACTTCTTATCAAGTTCTTACCTGGTTGGGTTCATACACCATCAGTCTGTTTTGATACTGTGCCGTGTTAGTTACTCCACCTGTAATGGAGTAGCACATGTTAGACCTTTCCAAAAGAAGTAGGAGCAACAGATAAAGGACAGTGAGCTACAGTTGAGTATCTTTGTATGCTATCAAAGAGAACCCATGACATAATTAAGAAATTTATTGTAGGGGTGGGGGATGGGAGGAGAGAGTGTGGGGAGAGATGACTGGAATTGGGGTGTATGGGGGAGCAATGTGGAAACCTAGTGCAGTGGAAACTCCCTGGAATCTATGAGGGTGACCCTAGTGAGGAATCCTAGTAATGGGGGATACAGAGCCTGAAACAGTCATCTCCTGGAACCAGGCAAGGCTTTCAGGGGTGTGACTGTGACATCAACTCAGCCCTAAAACCTTCCACCCTGCCAGATGTGTTGGGGTAATGGTGATACAGAGCTTATGGGAGTGGCCAACCAATGACCGGTCTAACCTGAGACCCATTACCACACAAGGGAGCCCATGCCCAACACTGCTTGGATGGCCAGAAACCAGGGGCTGGTTAGCCAAAATACATAGGATAGAATAAACACAACTAGCCAAATGGAAAAAAAAAGTCAATGAAATGATTCCTAATGATATTTTGCTATATTCATAGACCAGAGCCTAGGCCAATCGTCAGAGAGGCTTCATCCAGCTGCAGATAGGAGCGGATGCCGAGACCCACAGCTGAACATTAGGCGGTCAGCTTGGGAAACCCCGCTAAAGAGGGAGGAGGAAGGGCTGTAGGAGCCAGAGTTGCTGAGGGCACTACAAGAACACAGCCCGCAGAATCCACTCATCAGTGCTCCTAGGGGCTCACACAGACCGGATTGGCAGGAGCCTGCATGGGTCTGCATCAGGTCCTCTACACATATCTTATGCTGGTGTAGCTGGGCGTTCTTGTGGAGCTCAGTGGAAGTGTGTGTGTGTGGGGGGGTGTCTCTGACTCTTCTGCCTGTTTTGGGAATCCTTTTTCTCCTAATGGGTTGCCTCATCCTGCCTTGGTTTGAGGGTTTGTGCCAAATCTTACTGTAATGTGTTAGGCTATGCTGTGTTTGGGTGATGTCCCTGGGAGGCCTGCTCTCTTCTGAAGGGAAACAGAGGAGTGGATCTGGGGGAGGGCAGAGAGTGGGGGAGGGGACTGGGAGAAGTAGAGGGAAGGGAAAATGCAGTTGGGACATATTGTGTGAGAGGTGAATAAATAAAAGAAAGGAACATATCGTAGAAGAAGCAGATTCCTCCAGAAACATTTCAGTACCAGTCTGCTCGTGAGCGAGTGACGATGAGTAGTCCCCAGTACAGCAAGCTGCTCTGCGTGGCCAGATGAAGGGGCAAAGGCGTGGGGTGAATACAGCGCACACAGATTAGATTTCTCTCTGTATAATTTATTCTAGGCACAGAGTTACATAAACTGTCCCTGTCCTTACCCAAGTTGGCAGTTTCCGAGTTCTCAGCTCTGTGCATTAGTGAGGTGATAGCTTTCTATTTCTTTGGAAGGATCACATAAAGCAAAAGGCATTATCTATCAAAAGATGTTTAGGCCCAGTACTATGTAGTAGGAAATAATAATAATATCAATGAATGTGCCACATTTAAAAATAAAAAAGAGATTATATTTGATAATACATTTTCAACTGGCTAAAAATATTATCTTAATATGAAATCTGTATAAAATTAACTGAGGGCTTTTTTTCCATACAAAATCTTCAAAATCTGTTGACTGAGGCTTCTGTCCCACTCAGTCCCACAGCCTTTCAGTCCCAAGGAAGCACATAGAGGCCTACATTAATAATAAACTGAATAGCCTATTAGCTCAGGCTTCTTATTAACTAATTCTTACATCTTACATTAACCCATTATTTTTATCTATGTTAGCCACTTGGCTTGGTACCTTCTTTAGTGAAGTATTCTCATCTTGCTTCCTCTGTGTCTGGGTGATGACCACAAACTGAGCTTTCCTTGCCCCAGAATTTCCATTCTCCTTGCCCAGTCTCTACTTCCTGCCTGGTTGCCCCGCCTATACTTCCTGCCTGGGTTCTGGCCAAGCAGCATTTTATTAAACCAGTACAAGAAACAAATCTTTAAAGGGTAAAACCATTGTCCCACAGCAAAAATCCAGGGTGCATCTGATACAACCCAGTAGCTGCTTTCCAAACACTAAACAGGATAAGAGGAGCTGGCGGCTAATGACCACCAAATGGGATAGCACACTTTAAACCTCCCCAGTGCAATGACTTCAGTCAACTTTGTAAAATGGCCTTTTTTTTACAGTGCTCATATCTAAGAGAACAGACTATCTGCCTAACCAGGAACCATGAAAGTCAATACTTTAACTGTTTTTCCTACCTGTCCCCACATAGGCTGAGGATACTTTGTCTAAAAGTCTAAAGCCTAAAAGCCTCCAAACATTTTGAATGCAGATATGATGACACAGTGGGAATCCTCACATCTCGCCTCCAGTAAGATGCCACAGCAAGAACACCAGAAATTTGTATGAAATTATCTTCAGATTCTGTATATAAGGTTACATGAATTTTATGTTTAGAAATGGTTGCCATCCCTAAGACATCCGATCATAGGTACACAACTAAGCAAAAATCTGGAAATCTGAATGACTCAACACATCTAATCCCAAGCACTCGAAACGGGGGGTACTCAGCTCTTACATGTGTGGGAGCCCACAGTGACTCTATTCCATCTTGACTTAAGGTCAGAGAGTCAAGCTTGTTCTTGCTCCATATGGGCAATTAACAGGATGTTTGGCAAAAGGCATGGTTACTAGGTGTTTTGAGAATTAAGGAGGTGAATACACTTGTTCATTTCTTGAGTAAGGAAGTCTTTTGCCCTCCCGTTTTTGCTTTGTGTATGAAAAGGGTATGAGAAATAAATTTGAGGCTGCTGCAGTATTCGCTGAGAGCCCTCCTGATTCTATCTTCTGTCTTTTGTCTCTTTCTTCACTTCCCTATTCAGGTATGGTTCGATAAGTTGCCGGCATACGTGCTTTTCTTCACAGTTATGCTGTACAATGAGCCCCATAAAATCAACACATTTTAATTTTAGTTTAATTTTTACTATTAGGTGGAAATTTTTTAAGGAAAATCTCTAAGGACTAAAAAAGTGAGGTATTTTAAACCCATGTGATAATGGGAATATGAGGATTCCAAACCTATCTTTATAAATATCACCCATAAGTAGTTTCAGATACTACTGTAAAAGGGTATTCTTAATATGAATCAGAAAGACTCAATTCTTAAATATAAATTCACAATCAGACCGGCTGGAAAAGATGTTCCCATAGGGTTTTTCTAATGTGGAAGACACAGATAGCTGTAGAACTGACCACAAGGCTTTAGCATTTTCTTAACTTAGGCTGCTTTCTGATGCTAGGACCCGACTTGGCTTTTTAAAAAAATCACTTAGATTAGGTATAGTTGTAATGACTTTCTCTGTCTCCTTGAAATGTCAATTATTTTAAGACACTTGCCACTTTTAGGAAACAAGAAGATCTTTTTTAAGGACCTAGATCTCTTTGAAATATCACTGAGGAAAATGATGTCCTTGTCCTCAGTTTTTAGTAGAGTAAAGGAGTTTGATTTTGATAGGTACCAACTAGCAAATTCAAATGGCCTCATTACAGGGGAAAGATTGCACACTGAGGAACAAATGCATGTGCTTGCTGCATCCACCGAGCAGCCTTTCTTTGCTCCAAAGTCCATCCTTTGCACACTCTGCTTCTGAAGAAAACCCATGTTTCCAAACCCTCACCTCTGTCTTCTTTCATGGTCTGTGTCACCCAGCTATTTGTTTCTTTGTTCTGGTAGTTCAAATGCTCTGAGTAGGTCTCTACCATCAGCTCCATCCCCAAGAAGTAAATGAACCAGAATCCAGAGGAAGAATAATAACTCGAATTGACTTAGAACAGTCAATTAATGCCAATACTACTAGATACATAAGAGATGGTCTCTGGTCCAAGTCAATAATTTTCCAAAACCCTAATAAAAAAAAACTGGATCCTCCATGTAATTAATGGTGGTTAGTATTAACTGGAGAGTTTCTTTTTAGTTTTTAATTCTGTAGCCTTCAATCACATTTTTATTAGTTTTTTTTCAAAAAATACCAATCCAAATTCCCACTCCCTTCTCCCCACACATTCCTTCCACACACCTTCTCACCCCACCCCCTCTAATCCTAAGAGAAGGTAAGGCACTTTTCTTTGTGGAAGGTTCAAGGCCCTCCCTACTACATCTAGGCTGAGCAAGGAATACATCCAAAGAGAATAGGATCTCAAAAAGTCAGTACACACAGTAGGGATAAATCCCAGTGCCATTGCCAGTGGCCCCTCAGTCTTCTCCAGCCATGAAACTGTCAACCACATTCAGAGGGACTAGTTTAGTCCTATGCTTGTTCCTTCTCTGTCCAGCTGGAGTTGGTGAGTTTCCATTAGCTCAGGTAAACTGTTTCAGTGGATGAACCCTTCATGGTCTTAATGTCTTTGCTCATATTCTCATTCCTTCTACTCTTCAATTGGACCTTGAGAGCTCAGTCCAGTGCTCCAATGTGGGACTCTTCCTCTTTTTCCATCTGTTGTTGAATGAAGGTTCTATGGTGATATTTAAGATAATCATCAGTCTGAATACAGGGCAAGACCAGTTTGGTAACCCTCTCCTCTATTGCTTAGGGTCTTAACTGGGGTCATTCTTGTGAATTCTTGGGATTTTTTTCTAGAGCCAAGTTTCTTGCTAACCCAATAATGGCTCCCTTAATCAAGATATCTCTTTCCTTGCTCTCATATCTGTCCTTCCACCATCTCAACTATCCCATTCCCTCAAGTTCTCCTCAACCCTCTCTTCTCCCCTCTTCTTCACCTTCTCCCCTTTTTTCTACTCCCTGCCCCCATGCCCCCAATTTTGTCAGTTGATCTTGTTTGTTTCCAATTTCCAGGTGGGTCTATATATGTTTTTCTTTGGGTTCACCTTATTACTTGGCTTCTCTAGGATCGTGAACTATAGGCTCAATGTCC